AGGATAATATAATGGTGCCACGGTGGCGAAATGTTAACTTCCTCGCATGGTATTCAAGAGATCGTGGGTTCGATCCCGACCCCGATGACTGTATACTTTGAATTTGCATGTTCTCCCCGTGGTCGCGCGGATTTTTCTCCAAGTCCTCCGGTTTTTTCCCCTCCACATTTAGAAACATGCGTTTTGAATATTTGGCTGCTATATTTCCACGTGACAAGCCACTTCATTGGGCTATCATGAAAATAAGCTATATAGCTCACTGGGCCATTACCTCGGAAAACAAAAAATAGTATAGTTTTATTTTTCGATTTAAAGCTTTCGTGACTGCAATGATTCATCTTCTTTGGTTCTTTCGGTAAAGTCACGTAGAATGAGAATAAAATAATAAATTGATAAAATATTATTGTGTTATTTTATTTTATCAATTTATTATTTTATTCTCATTCTATGTGACTTTACCGAAAGAACCAAAGTATAGTTTTAGTTTAATGTACGTACTGCAAAGTGAAAATCTTATGTCATACAATACTGTAGTGTAATTATATGAATGAAACAGCACTCTGACATTTCTACTACACAAAAAGAGCTCTATGCAGAAGAGGTTACTAAATGTTAGAGCAATGATAGCCAAAAACAGGCAACTGGGCCATCATGTTCGAAATGCATTTGCCAGCAAAAATTTGGTGTGCAAAGTTCTCAATATAAATATATATCGCCTGTCCTGCTCTCTAACTAGGGGAGAGTTCACAAAACATATCTCCATATGTTGCAATTTTGTGAAAGGCTTTAGGTGGCGCCTCTGTTGGCTGCAAATTCACCAGTGAGGCGTAGATGACATCTCTAGGTGATGCAACTGAGCACTGAAACCTGTGTGATGTGTGCTAAATGGGCTGAAATAAGTCACCCTAATTATACTGTTCATGAACATTTCCATGTGCCTCCGATAAAGCTTGCAGAGGAAAATACTCAAATGTGTGTGAAAGATCACGACTCACATTCCCCATAGTGAATTGCCATCATGCAAATAATGACCGTCCTTCAAATTATGAACAAGAGTTTAGGATTTTAGGACGTGGAGCCATTTTCACATTAAGTACTTGATATGCTTGCGGTTTGTTCCCACCAAACGCTATTTAAAAAAAATGGTAGTGATGACAACATAAAACGTGTACATATACAGCCTGTTTGTCAATCCGCTGCTGGATGAGAGCTTCATCCACACCATGCGGGTCATGAGGGCTATTTGACCATATTTCCCATACGTTGGTCACAGTGAGTTGGTCAAGGTGGAGGAAATGCAGAGCAATTAATTTTGTTGCACTCTGCTGCCCACAACTCCAGCCACAACTGTTTTGTGCATGGTCGTTACTTGTCCAAGCGATATCCAGGCCGAAGTCTGCTTAGCTTCAAAGGTGTGATGGGATTGGGTGCATCCCAGGTGATTTGATCATAGGCTTGTGTTCAAACGGTGCACCGACACAAAATAGAGATGATTTTGAAACTTAAACATGTACATGTCCAATCATGTTTTCAGTTCTTACAGAGCTCCATCTGTGGAAATAGCCCTCGGCAGTAGTGAGGCAAAGACTGCTGTGCACGCAGTTTTGGTCTCGCAATGTCTTTGCAAATCATGCATAGTTGTGGTTCAATAACTTCCTTATCTGCCAACAGAACCCACAGAATTGCATACTAAAAGATGCAAGTCAACACAGATAAAATAATTGCACTCTACTGTATTTTGAAAAGAAGGATACAATTCGTTTTTTTATGATGAAAGTACATATATGTCCCTGTATACTCTAATTAGAAAACATTGTAATGAGGGTGATGTAAGGGATGAGTATGTAAAGTGCATAAACCCAAGCACTTACAATACATCAGTATTAAACTACGAACCCGGAAAACCTGAGTTTGATTCCTGGACACGGCCAACACACAACCCCTGAGTGGTACTGGTTCGAGTATGGTGAAATCAATCTTCATGACCGAAAGAAGTGTGGAGGCCCTCATTCAGTAGTGTACTGTTAAAGTATTGTCCATTACATTTATACAGTTTGGCTTATATGGGGCATGAACAAGTAGGATAACCGGAGCTCAGGGATGGCTAACAGAATCAGTCATAAGAAATATAAATACAAGAGATCGTCGCTGCAGATTTAGATGTGGAACTTGTCTGGATCTTGCGATTTAGTCTCCCTTATAAAAGATACATACTGATATATGTTACTATATTCGTACGAATAGATTAGGATATTATTGGTTATATAGAAAGGGTTTATTGGCACACGGGCCGACTAAAGGCACATATGATAAAGAATATTGTACCGTATAAAGAACGCTGCTACGCCGCCTCAATTAACATCTGTAAATTTTACAAACTCTGCGACTAGGAAAAAAAGCTGTACTTACAACTACAACAATATACTATAAATCATGCTCCATAATTACGCTGATTATTGTATTATAATAACCGTTAAATTAAAGCACGATTACTGCATTGTATATTGTTTCCGATTTGTAAGTATTGTACATATTGTCCTATCCTGCTATCCTACAAAGAGTTGTTTGTATTACAGGGATGGTGCAGCATAGGACAATGCAGTGATGGAAAATCTGCACACCATACACAATGCAATAACCATGCTCCGTTATTGCATGCATTGACATATTTATGGTACTTGTTACACAATAGCCAAATATTTAGACCTGCAAAGAAGAGCACATCCAAGTCGAATTCACGGTTTTGAATTGGGGCACATTTCAAACACAGCCTGGGCAAGTGGGGGTGGATGCAAGCATTGCTCCAAGGACGATGATGGGCTTTAGCATAGATATGCATTCGGGGTCCATTATGCAGGCATATCCACTCCACAATGCTGCCCGCCCAGTGACCTTTTCAATCATTAACTCCTGGCACACACAGTCATGTGAATAAGTCGCACGACTACGCAACACAATTTGGATTATATAACGTATAAAGGTAGCCATATCAACCAATGCTCTGTACAAAAAAGTGGGACGTATTATTGTTGCAAATAGATGTTTAGTACAAAAACAAAGTAAATGATTAAGACAAAATACGCTCATATGGGCGGAGAAAGGTTGCGTGTGTTATCTAGAAATAACATTTCCAGTGTCAAGTATTGCTTTACAGTAGTTGCAACATATAAAATGGTATACACACAGAGTGCAGTCGAATAGTGGAAGAGTGGAGCAGTGGCTAGCGCTCTGCAATACGATTAAATCGCCAGCTTACATTCTATTCCAGGCCACGGCTAACGTCAGTAAGCTGAAATCGCATATAGTCATATAGTCCTGAACACCCCTCCGAACCTTACTGACCAGTGTGGTAAAGGTCAAACAACTCCCATGACCCAATACGGCGTGGGGAGGCCTTCATCCAGCAGTGGATTGAGAAAGAGGCTCATATGTTTTTGTCATTATCATCAGCCATGACAAAACATTTCACATCAACATTACAAATGGAAAGTTGATGAGAAATAACAAAGATTCTAAAAGTACCACTCGATGACAGAAATTTCTCAAAATTGAAAACCATTAACTTGTCAGTGTGTTTCCAGACTGGTGCTGTTTGGCATTGGCACAGCCTCGGAGAGATGAAATAAATAAACATTCTTAAATACACGAATTATAATCATTCAAGGACATCTGTCAGGGTTAGCAGCAGATATAAGTAAACAAACTAACACAACCTGAGTCCGTATCATGCAAGGCCACATTTGTAACATAATTGTAGTCCCACTGCGTTCTTACATACCCCGGGTGCCATCGTTTATAAGAAGCGCTCTTGCCAAAATGACACATGGTAATCGAGCAGCATTTGATTAACAATCTTGACTCTCCTGATGAGACCCAGAAGGTCGAAAGCGGTCCAGAGTTTGCTTGCTTTAAAAGCAAATGCTGCTTGATAATATTTGTAGGCAGAGTCAATTGAGTCAACGTACACAACAATACAACTCGTCAAATCCCTCTGAAAAAGCCACTCTCTCTACGATCTCACCTCTCGTAATTGTCTCATCAATATCTGAACTATGGGAGGTCTCTGTTGGTCTTCTGCTGCTCTCGACCAACCAGTTCAATAAATACAAACACCTACGCACGATACACTTTATTGGAAACACTCGATACATTTAGCTGGCTACCCACAATCAATGTACACTTATGATATACAGCACAAGCAGCAGTGAGACCGTATGCACCAGTTCATAGATTAAGCGTACAAAACGCGTTTTATATGCGTTGGTAACATACCACACACACACACAGACCTCGTCTCATCCTTGTGATAGAAGTCTCTGGACGAACCCTATAAATAAATAACACCTCTGCCTATTCAGCATGTGCTACACAATTGCATATGCGCCAAGACAGATGACCCCCACCCCCCACCTCCCATGTAGCCGTACACACGAACTACTGCGGCGAGGCTTAGGGGGCTGTTAGCGAGCACCTATTAAGGGCCAGGAGGGCACACGATCTGGGTTGTTGTGCCCAAAATCCCATGCACCACACGCCCGACCGCATCTGCCTCTCCAGTGCTGTAATTCCGCCGCCCCCCCCCCCCTCCTTCGGTACACAAAACAGAGACACACAAAACAGAGACACACACAGAGACACACAAAACAGAGACACACACACAGAGCCACACCAGCTACTCAATTCACGGCTAAGTCGGCCGATGATGTCCACCTGAAGACCCCCGCTGTCGGGGCAGGTCACACGATCATGTGCCGTGAGCGGGGTGTCAAACCACAAACTCGGTTCGGCCTGCGTAGCGCAGTGCGCTTAACAAAAAAAAAACAACAACCCCCCCCCCCACTCGGAGCACGTTTTGTATGCGCAATACACACGAGGCGACACAGCACAAACACAGCACAAACACACACGAGAGACGCGAACGACTTGTGCATCATTAGAACATCGGCACCCATCATCATCGTCGTCGTCGTCAGCTGGACATCGTCGCACCCTCTTCTTACCTGCGAGCTCATCGGCCTCCAAGCCCGTGTCGGGGTCCAGTCCGCACACCACGAAATAGTCAACGAAGCGGCACCCGGGAGGGCTCTGTGCGTTCATCTTCCTCGCCTCCTCGCCGCTGTGTGTTACGTCTCAAGACGCCTTGTTTCTTCGACCTTGCCGTTTGTCCGCGTCCTTGCTCGCTTTGTTGTTGTTGTTGTCACGACCAGAACGTTATCGCCATCATCATCATCGTCGTCGTCGCTGTCCCACCGGACACGAAGCTGCGCGGCGCGGGGATCGGCGAACCGAGACGAGGGGCCGACTCTGCGATGGATGTCCCCCACCCCACCCTACCACCACCACACCACACACTTTGACGGAGCCAATGATAATGGCTTAGTAATAATAATAAAATAATAATAAAAACGCCTGGGTTTTTTTACAAATTAAAATAAAATTTCCCAAGCCCTCTATTAAAACAATAACAACAAACAACAAACAAACAAAATCACGTCTCGTCCTGTTCGTCTTCTTCCTTTAATCACCGCCGCTTTGCAGCAGCCTCAGCAGCAGCCTCCGTCCCCACGCCATATTTTTTGACGAGAGGCCCCACGCAAAGAAACGAAATCTTGTCGCGTTTCCTTTACCGACCACGGCGAGGCGCTGGCGACTTTCGTTTAGCAATATAAAAAACATATCGCCCTGAGTGGTGGGTGAGGGGGGGGGTCTCGGATCGACGGACACCGGTTCACCTTCACATCACGCTCTCGCACACGGCGTTGGTGCACGGTGCTTTTTTTTCGGGAATATTTTGCTGGGTTTTTTTTCATGGATTTTCTGTTTGCACAGTCACATAGTCACTTGAAGATGTTTTTCTTGTTCTTGTTTTTGTTTGTTTGTTTGGTTGTGGTTGCACCAGATTCAAGAGCCGAATGGCTCACAGGGCTATACCAAAATAAATAAAACTGAAATCGCTCGAGTTTGGCGGCGGCTTGTCCGCACCGGCAGGATGCAATAAACTCCCTCTTCACAAACCCCTCGGTTTTATCACCCTTCATTGGAACCCGTGGCAGCAGATGCCCTGATGCACAACATGGAGGATATTACAACAGCAGCAGCAAAAAATACTAATCCGGTCATCCGGAACAGACCGTGTAACAAGGTTATCATCACGAGGCCAATTTCCCGATCCACAAAATGTGAAGGAGGCATCACAGCGACGATAACACTCCGCTGCTTTGACCAGCTGAATGTGAAACTGTAAGTTGTTGTTCTGCATCTACTAAAGCCGTACGAAATAAAAACGACTGTATTAAGGGGGGGGGGGGCCTTATCAAGGGTGACGGATAAGAGGAGATAACATTCAATCTAGATTTGAAGTTTTCGTGACTGCAGGGATCCATACTCTTTGGTTCTTTCGGTAAAGTCACGAAGGTTGAAAATACAATTAAATCACGACGTTTCGGGCGCAACACAAGCGTATGTCATCAGGTGGGACAACCACAGCAAGAAACAATTGCTGAAGTGGGCAAGAGGGTTGCTGTGACAAGAGGCTATATAGATAAGAGAGGGGGAGGAGCCAGGGAGGAGAGATAGAGAGGGAGGAGCCAGGGAGGAGAGATAGAGAGGGGGGAGGAGCCAGAGTGGAGGGATAGAGAGGGGGGAGGAGCCAGGGAGGAGAGATAGAGAGGGGGGTGTGGGGTAGGGGGACGCTTGTGTTGCGCCCGAAACGTCGTGATTTAATTTTATACCTACGTGACTTTACCGAAAGAACCAGAGTATAGGAGATAACATCTCGGGTATACAGGAGGTTGTGGGTTTGACCCCGAGCCTGACGCCTGCAGTTTGCATGTTTCTTTCTCCGGGTCTTCTGGCTTTTCCCTCCACATTTAAAATGAACATCCATTGAGTATTTGGCAGCTATATACATTTCTACGTGATAAGCCACTTCGTTGAGCTATCATTTGCGGGCAGGTCGCTTCTGAAAGAGAGGTGTATAGGTCAGTGGGCCTTACCTGGTAAAACATTTATATTCTTGGTTCTTTCGGTAAAGTCACGTCGAAGGGAAACAATCAAATAATGAAAATATAAAACAATAAGAACAAAGAATATGAATCCCTGTTAAACATGTAGGCTTTCACGACCAATATTATTCATAATAAAGGTTTTTGGGTTAGATCGCGTTATTTATAAATATGTCGTAATCCTCCACCACCCGACACGGTCAATCAGCAAAAAAGTGTCACGTTGACAAAAGACAATTAGTTCATTACTTTAGCCCACCGGTGTGTTGAGGAGTGACTCCACAACATTTACAGTTTGAATACGATGTTTCGCTGGTAATTACATCCAGCATCATCGGGCAATTCGCCAGAATGGTAAAGCCCTCGCTTGCTCCCGGTCTTAAATAGAGCAGCAGGGTGACATCATCATTTAACTCATTTCAGGTGCAGTGAATTGAGGCGGAGGAGGGGTATTGTAATTATATAATCGATTGGTAATCAGTCAATGGTTATGATTAGTAATGAGTTGTAGATTAGTAATTAGTTGTAATGTGTGTTATTTTGATTATATGCTACATTAGTAATCCGTTAATGTCTATCTGAATGCAGATTTGCATCATCATCCAGCTCAGAAATCCTCTCTTATCAAGACGCTCATACATCGGGCTAAAACAGTGTCAGATGGTGAGAGTCTAGTGAGAGAGATCAAACACGTTAAAGAAGCATTACGACAGAATGGCTACAATAATACTCAAATTAACAGAGCACTGAATGCCAAATCACGATCGCAAAGCAACACTGCTGAAAGCGATCAGATTCTTAAAACAATTAAAATTCCATATATCTCAGGAGTAACTGACAAATTAGCCCGTGTTTTGCAAAAGCAAAACATTACAGTAAGATTTGGTACAGTACACAAAATTCAAAAACTAGTATCTTGCACTAAAGACGAATTACCTAAATTATCAACAGAAGGTGTATATCGGATTAATTGTTTATGTGGCAGATGCTATATTGGACAGACGGGACGTAACATCAGCATAAGACTAAAAGAACACCAAAGAAATATAAAATTATCCCAAGCACAACTGTCGGCAGTGGCAGAACATGCTTGTCAACAAGGACACTCAATTGATTTTGATAACGTTGAAGTGTTGTGTAAAACTAAGTATTACTGGCAAAGACTAACTAGAGAATCCATTGAAATTGAGAGAAACAGAAATAACTTTAATCGTTCTGATAGCTATAGGCTTAGTGCGGCTTGGAAGCGTATTATTAAATAATACATATTACAATTCCTAATAGGGGAAACATTAACGGATTACTAATGTAGCATATATTCACAATAACACACATTACAACTAATTACTAATCTACAACTCATTACTAATAATAACCATTGACTGATTACCAATCGATTATATAATTACAATACCCCCCCTCCGCCTCAATTCACTGCACATGAAATGAGTTAAATGATGACGTCACCCTGCTGCTCTATTTAAGACCGAGAGCAAGTGAGGGCTTTACCATTCTGGCGAATTGCCCGATGATGCTGGATGTAATTACCAGCGAAACGTCGTATTCAAACTGTAAATGCTGTGGATTCACTCAACACACCGGTGGGCTACAGTAGTTAACTATTTTGTCTTTTGTCAACGTGACACTGTTTTGCTGATTGGCCGTGTCGGGAGGTGGAGGGTTACGACATATTTATAAATAACGCGATCTAAACCAAAAACCTTTATTATGAATAATATGAATCCCTCTAGTCACGAAAGCTTTAAATAAAAAAAAATATTTAGTTTACTTTAATACTTTAGTTTGAGATTAACCGTCGAGTCCGCAAAAAGCCCTATTATCAGTGGCTCCAATTCTTCCGATTAATTATCCGCAAATGTTTCCCACCGAAGTGGAGTTATGCATTCTCTAGTTGAGCGAGCTCGAGTTCACAACTCCTCTTATCCCTATTACTCACGACTCATTATTTGCGCGATTATCAGTGACCCTACTATTCAAATTATGGACAATTTTTTGTTCTTGACCCACAAATGTGGAATGCATTCACGGATAACCTGGATAATGCGGTCCATGATATTGGTCACATTACTGCGGATGAGTTGTAATTCAGGAGATTGTAGACAAAAATGTGTATTCAACAACACTTTCCAATTACACTGGGCGATACGTTATTAGATCTGCCACTAAATATTTTAATTCACAGTTGCGGAGCACAGATGCAAAATGCCAAGAGGCTCACAACAAAGGGCACCATTTAGGTTGGAACAAAAGTTAATACACATACGGCTGTAAATGTTGTGGATTTACTCTCCAACACACCGGTGGGCTGAAGTAGTAACTAATTGGCGTTTTGCTTACGTGAAAAATCCCTGACTCATTGGCTGTCGGGTGAAGGGTTACGACACATTTATACTTATGCAATCTAACCCAAAAACCTTAATATTCGTCGCGAAAGATAAGTGTTAAACTGACACATACGGCTCTTGAATTGATCAAGGTTGTAATGTTTTGTTTAAGATTGGAGAGAATTCCAGTGGAGCAGTGGAAAAAAACAGATGAGTATTTCGACCTGCAGTATATGGATGAGACGATAGTACGTCAGTCTGGTGTCGAAGCCCTTTGCATATTAAAGCTTTAAATGTGTTAGGATTGGTGGGAGACATGTAGAAGCTTTGAATGAAATTTTTCGTTATAATTTCTCCCTATTTGTGGGGGTATCTAGAAACGGGTCCTCCTGTAATTCATGGCAGTCATAAAAACGGCCCTTGGTACCTACAGAGTACTAAGAAATACCTTGTGATTAAAGGACGGGACAGTCGAGACATTGTTAGGCCATATTTGGGATGTTGAACTGCTTGTGATATACAGTACATTAATATTGTTACCAATAACAATAATGCAAACAATGTACCGACATTACATTGTAGCACATTGATCAAAGCCAGAATGAAATGCATTTTGCAAATACAGTAGCAGATTATTGCACAGTATATTTATAAATATAGGTGGGTGTCTGGGGATTATATAAGGGCATATTTTCACACTGAATGCAAAACTATGACAATAGTGCACTTTCCTACACACATGCAATTCATCTTGCAAGACGAACAGAGGACCATGTACCCGTGCAGCATTCCTCAACAAGTTCAGACACTCCGCTCATTGACATTTACACATGACTTTAGGGACAATTTCAGTAGTGTCATTTTCAACTTGTAAAACGTGCAAGTGACTACAATGGATTTGAAGCATAGCACTTGTACAGTACATACATTATGCATGCATGCACCAGTCCCACATCTCTAAAACAAATACAATATAAAACTTCCAGTTTTTAACCCTAACCCAGAATGATAGTGAAACAAAAATCACAAGATAAAATAACTTAGAGCCCTTTGTCAATCGACTGCTAGATGGTCTCCCCACAGTCACTAAATAGAATTGTGCACAAATTATATAAGCATCTTAGATAGCATAAGTGTTGTGTGATTAAACGAGTGAGTCGGGCAGCTCGGATGAAAAAACAGCATTGGGTGAAGAAAACCAATGCATTGCACTTTAGTGTCATGTCTCTTTTCATTTAATACAAATA